TAGCAAGCTCCGCTAACAGTAAAAGCACAAGAGCAGATCTGCTAGGAAATTACTAAGTTATAACTCTGATTTTGTGTTGTGGCTGTCAGAGGGTAGTCAAATGATTGAATTTTTCTAATTTAAAATGAACCTGCCTGGACATAGAGGGGAAAAAACTGGAACAGGCAAGCAAATATAAGGACTATTCCTAGAAGGGTATGTGGAGTAGTAATTCTCTTGCTGTGTAAAGGCAGAGTCTCATTTCATACATTTTGTTGCACCTATAGGTTAACCCCTATTTATACATATATTTTTTTCAGTTGCTCTTTCTCAAGAGACAACACTCGGGCATGTTCATAATTGTTTTCTCCCCTTTTAGTGCTAGGCTGATTTTTTTTTAACCCATTTTCTTCAGCTTTGACTTCATTTGTATGGTAATGTATTATGCTATAGGAAACTAATAAAAACTCTATGTAATAAAGTATTTGAATGTCACGTTGGATCTCCAGTGCAATATGTTTGTTTTTATTTAACAACTAGCAGTAGAGATTTTTTTTTTTATTAACTAGTATATGGGCAAGTCAGTATGAATAGTGAGTCCACAGTGAGAAATCACTTTGTTTTCCTGCCTTATGTGTTACATTCCTTGCTCCTGTATTGTCTCCAGTCACTTAATGGGTTATTTGTATGCTTATTGATACATCTACTTTTTGCAATTAAAATACCATATTCTTGAAATCTAAAAAATAATTTTACAAAGCTTTATAAATATTTGGAGTTTTTTAATGATTAAAATTTTTAAAGTAGCTACTGAGTAAATAATAAGGGTAAGAAAATACCTTTTTCCTATGCAATTAGGTAACCCTCAGACTGTTCTGTTAAGGCAAGCAGGGAAATGGATTATATTGCTTGAATGAACGTTGTATCGTGGGCTGGCTCGTTTGTTTGATTCTATAGTTCCTGTAGGTGCGGATTTTTTCAAGATAAGTTATTTGTTGGTTTGGATTTTATAGATAACTGTTTTTAAATTGATTCTGGGTTTTCACTTAAATTCTATTATAGAACTAGATTTTTTTTCCTCTTAGATTAGGTGTCCTGGGTAATATTTTTAGGTATGTAAAAGTGAAGGAATATATAATAGTGGTGAGTGCTCAGTTATGTATAGATAGGGCCTAAAAACTCGAATAACTCCTTTGATCTCTTTATGGCTAGCTGATCTAAAATGCAGTATTGTAGCATGGGATTTTTTGAGAGTAAAAAAATCATTGAGGTTATTACATTTTTTTTTTTTTCTTTCCCCTAATAAATTGATACAAATTTCCTCAAAAATTTACTCAGAAAATATTCACAGTAAAAGCTCAGTACTGTGCCTTCTGGACAAATATAATTTCATGGAGCATTAGAAAATTAATCTTTTATTTTTTTTCAGAGAGAGATTAGTAGTTCCTATAGGTCTAAGCTAGATCGTATTTCCACAGATTCAAAGATCTGTCCAATGCCGTGAACCATAGCCCAACTAAAATCAGATAGTGACGTGGTCATAAGCTCTTTACTGTCTAAAAAGTAAGCAATGAATGAAATTAGATGTAACTAATAAATACATTCAGGTGTCTTATGTCTTTACAGGAGACTTACAAGGATCAAAAACTTGCATTTCTTATTCTTCACATTGACGCAATGCCAGTATTAGAATTTTTCACTGTGTAAATAAACTTCATTTAGTAAAAGATGTAGCTTTAATGTACTGCAAATAAATGTTTGAGAAGTTAAGATTAAATACTGCTCCGGTTTATTTTTATTTGGGGAGTGGAAGGCATGATGAGATCTGTGCAGTATTACAGATTGAATTGGTAATGTCAAATATATTTAAGGTTACTGGACACTTCCCCCATAAGACTATACTTCTAATTGTTTATTAATTTACCAGACTTTCGTCAGTTACATTGACACTTTCCTTGCTGTGTTTGTTACACTCTCATTTTCTTCCTTGGGAGAACTTAATCTAGAACTTAATCTGTTCAGCTAGTTAAGTTTAGTACTTTGCTACAGATGTGCCCCTCGCTCCCTTTGGCTTTCTTCTGAAACCTTCTTAGTGGAGAATCATAAGTGAGTGTACAGCATAATCATAAAGAGACGAGCAGAAACCGATGTGGGTGAAATGAGAAGAATGTGTCCTGACTTGGTGTCTTCTTCTTTCTCTCCTGAGGGAGCAACAGCACTCACAGATACCAAATATTAGTGCTAATAATAAAGCCCCCTCCATATGTGGCAGTTCCTATCCAGTCAAATTTATAGGAAAACAATTGCTTTCTTAGTTTTCTGGATAAAATAGCAGATTAAGACAGCTCTCAATATAAGAATTGCAGCAGCTTTTCACAGCATGTTTTATGTATTGATATCTGGGAGATACTTAAATTTGATTAAAAAAATCTCTAAATGTAATTACAAAATGTGAAACCACAAACTATTGTGCCATTAACAAACATCATGCTGTTTTTTGTAATCTGGTTAATAGTCATTCTTTTAAATTGGGATCACACTAAAATTTATTTGCAGTTAATTTGTTATTCCAAACATTCCTGTGTATTTCAGCCATTTTAGAAAGCCTTGTGTTTTCTCCACTTAGGGTTGTCTACAAGCTTTTAGCATCACAAAGTGAAGGCATCAGGGTGCAAGCTCTAAAAGTGATGGGATATTTCTTAAAGCATCTCGCTCCAAAGTAAGTACTGGTTTAGGTCTTAAAACAAACACCACCATTCCCTGGCCTCCCCCCAAAAAAAGGACAAAAGGTAGGTTGTGACACATATATGCCATTTTTTTTGTGTGTGTATATTATGTGGTGTGTATATATACACACATTTTTACGTGTGGTGGTTTCACAGGACATAAAGTAAAAAAAGAAAAAAGCTTATTGGAGGTTAATCACTAAATATGCTTCACTGAATAGAAGCTACTACTCTTCAAGTAGCCTTCAATTTTGTTGTTATTAATATATTTCTGAAATGGTGGAATTACTTGTTATTGGCAAGTAGCATCCAGGCATTATCACTTCCTTGACAAGTTCATTTAATACTTACTTGCAGTACGACTGCCTGCTTTAATTTAAAGTGGTCTTTTTCCTTGATTCCACTGAAATCAGTAGCAAGAATTAGCCTGGTAAGATTGAACCCTGTGTCAATTCTTGAGAACTAGATCTGTCTCAAGTCGACTGCATTAGTAGATGACTATTGAGATCGCTGTCCATGGTTGTATTTTTGAGTGAAATGAGGACAAAGATGCCCTTTCCTTAGGGTTTATCAAGACATCCCTAGGGGTATGTTTTGGCATTTTGGGCCCATGGGTGATTGGACCACATTTATAGAAGAAAGTGAGCTGTCTTCTGTCTGTCTTCAGGGAATGACTTGTCCTTTCAGAATTTGAATCGTTGCCCTTTTCTTTAACCAAAAGTGAAAGACTTAAGGAACAAAAAAGAAAAAGATGCTTCCAGTGATTTCATCTTTCTCGAGGCACACTTTTAAAACTATTTTTTCCCCTAAAACAAATTGAATACATAAGTTTATTTTATCTTTCTGTACTGTTTTAGGAGAAAAGCTGAAGTCATGCTTGGACATGGATTATTCTCTTTGTTGGCTGAAAGGCTGATGCTTCAGACAAGCTTAATCACCATGACCACATACAATGTCCTGTTTGAGGTAGTAATATACTGTAGTTAGGATCCAATCTTCCTAATTACTTGCAAGACATTGTTAGAAAATTGCTTACATATTTGTGCTGATATGTTCCAGATGACATTAAACCTTAGTGTGATGCAGCTGAGTGGGGTTTTTTTTGTTTTTTTTTTCTCCCCCCAGAGATCACTACTTGAGAATTCCAACCCCCCCTTAACTTGGTTATGCTCATTATGAACAGTTCTAGATAATGAGTAACCTGAATGTCTCAAGCAGACACATATATATGTGGGATTTTATTATAGCAATGAACTTGCCTTATGATGATTGTTTTGGTTAGACTCAGGTTTCTTTTCCAGTGTATTTAAAATAACAGCATGCACTTAAAAAAAGGCAAAAAAAAAAAAAGAGTAAAATTTTAGGAACAGAATGAAATAGAGTCAAATAAATTATCGAGACAGACAAGTGGGTTTTTTGGATAATTTTTATAAGCATGGTGCTGTATGATAGTGCTGTATGAAGGATGTATCCAACTATTTTTCGGTAAGCTGTCTTTATGAACATTGATATGGCATCTTCTTCTTTCTTGCTAGATTCTGACTGAACAAATTTGCACTCAAGTGATACATAAACAACATCCTGACCCAGATTCAACAGTGAAGATACAAAATCCTCGTAAGAATGATACACTTTTCTAAGTGCTACCATAAGAAAAGTCTCCTCTAAAAAAAAAAAAGCCATGAGAAAACTTATTGATTACATCCACCAGTCTTAATTCTGATCTTAATTTTGCATTATCTTTCATACAAAAAGAAATATAATGTGCATTTAGTTAGAGTTATTTAGGAAGTATGTCTCTATAGCTTTTTGAAAGATGTTTTATGTGTCTAAATGTGTATGTAATTAATAACTCACCCTTTTTGGCTGTGCAGTGTTGTTATGAAATGGTTTTTCAAGACTTGCATGCACAGGATACTTTGATTTAATACGTGTTAAGGTTCCAGCAAAATTCTGATTGCATTATTTAGTGATGTCAGACTAAATTACCTGAAATATGGAAACAGCCTTCATCTTAAATTACATTCAGTACGACAATGCTAGATGGAAAGTAGGAGAAATGTATCTGCTCACTGTTTTGGTTAGCTTACTTTATGGGAAATATCTTGATATGAAACTTTAGATGTCTTTTGAACTAAGACAAAATACTGATCTCCTTTCCTGAATTATATGCATTATTAATGTGCTCTGTATATAATACAATGGATTTATGATAGCTTTGGGAGTTCGTTTTTTTTTCTGGAAAAATAATAGATTTTTCACTTTCATTGCTGCTTTGCCATTAAATGTAGGTTATAGTTGTGGGTTTTCTTCTTGTGGAAAGTGGGGGAAGAGAAAGGAAAGCAAAAAACATACAGAGGAAAGAAATCTGGTTGCAGTATGGCATTTGCCTTCTGGTAAATCTGAAGCAAGAGGTGTGAGATTTCTGTTGCTTTCTCTTAAGATTTTTGAAGTTGACAGTCACTGCTGTGGTTAATACAGATTTTTTGTAGTGTGAGATGTGAGTTTGGAATTACCTAGGTCTAGTAGGAAGAGTGTCTTCTAGAGTAACTTTTTAAGATCAGTGCTAATATTATCAAATAGGGAATTTATGTTTTTAAAGAAATTGTACAAGGTGAACTAAACCTATCACAGTGACCGTGTTTAAATTACACCCTAATTTATTTACACAGTAAACTTTTTTTTTAAAGTAATAAGAACAGTGACTGCTTCACTGTTTCAAGAAGTGGAATGTACCCACAATTTTTACTGTCTCCTAAAAATATAGAAAATGTTTTGCTCATAAGAGATTAATTTTTATATCAGTAAGGTTTTTTCCCCCTTTCTCACTTTTTTAGAAACAGAAGTTGTTAAGTATAATCGGAAGTTGTTCAGATTCTTTAAAAATTCAGTATGATTAAGGTAGAGCAAAAGCTATGCATTTTTCTCATATATTGATTTTATAACTGATGCGTTGTATTATATGAACTTCCTTAGAAAAAGGTTCTGACAGATTCTGATAGCTTGTCATGCAGTAATATTTGTGCTGCTTAAACCTGATAATTAATTTTAAAAATCAGAATAATTTAACTTGATTCAATTTTCTCTAGCTGTATAGGCCTGCAAATCCCCCTGATGGTGACCAGGTTTGAGAAGTCTTTGGAAGACAGGATTTTTATTAGTTAAACCTTCTAGTCAAATAGAGATGTGCTTTTTCTCAGTATTTTTTCAGCTTTTCTCAGCTTTTTCTCTTTGTTATGTAGTGTCACTTTTCTTGTACAAACAGTACTGGAAGATGTCTTGTATTTTATGCTGTGCTTAGTGCTAATATTTTATTGCTCATGAACTGTTTTACAGAGATTTTGAAGGTTATTGCAATCCTGCTACGTAATTCTCCACAGTGTCCAGAAACACTGGAGATTCGTCGAGCCTTTCTCTCGGATATGATTAAACTTTTTAATAACAGCAGAGAAAATAGAAGGTAAGATAACTTGCTGTATGCACGTGTATACAAAGTAAGTAACCAGGTCTCTTAGTAAATTGGATGCATTAAGCAGATACAGCTTTATTGCTGTTCAGCAAATTCTATACTCTGGCATAGTCTCTAATATGTAAAATTAGAGAAGGTTGCACTTAGCAGTTATTTTAAACATGTTGGATTCCTGACTTAGCTGATTTATATATTTCTAAGATATATTTTGAAATTTAATTAAATAATACATGTGTTTTGCAGGAGTTTGTTGCAATGCTCTGTCTGGCAGGAGTGGATGCTTTCCCTTTGCTGTTTTAATCCAAAGACTTCTGAGGAACAGAAGATAACTGAGATGGTGTATACCATATTTCGAATTCTGCTCTACCATGCAATCAAATATGAGTGGGGTGGCTGGCGTGTTTGGGTGGATACACTGTCGATCACACATTCAAAGGTGAGTGTTTGAAATAGTTGGGAAATTTTGTTATGCTGTGTAATTAAATTCAGAGCCTTAAAGTGCTGTATCATACAGTGAGATAGTCTTGAAGTGAAGGTCAGTAGTTAAATAAAAGCCCATTGTTTTTATCTGTTAGTGGGCATAACTTTCAAATATTTGACAATGAAATGTTAATTTTGTTGTTTGTTTTTGTTGCTCAAATAGTGATCGTATTAGTTTATACTGAAAATGGCACAAAATGGCATCTCACTCAAAAATGAGATAGTCAAATTTCAGGGGGGAGCATTTCTGAAAAATGTTAGTGCTGGTTTTACTTTTTGGTAATGGCATGGACACAAGGTGGCGCACCATATCTATTAATAAACAAAAATACCTTTTAGTAACATCAAAAGGTTGAAAAATAAACCAGTAAGAAGCAAAGAAATCAAAGTTAAGACAGATGCTTCAGCTGGTAAGCTGTCATGGAATACAGGGTGAGAACACAAATCCTTGTAATATGAATGAGACTATTACCCTTCATTATTCTTCTGTCTGATTTTTTGTTGTCACAACCAGAATTCTGTCATAAAAGTTATTAGTGGATCTTCAAAGAAGGCACAGTAGTATAAAGGATAACTACCTGCCTTATTCTGAGCAAAAGAGTGATGCCAGTGTGGGCCTCTTAATTATTCTGGTTTATCAGAAATATGTACTTAAGATGAATTAAATTATATGTTTCTAAATATGTGCAACTTTACAGTATGAAAAGGACATCTGTGAATCCTAAAGGTGACTTTATGATTCTAAGGAATTGTTAGAATTTCTGAGGTCCTTGATTTTTGTTTGAATTTTTTCTCAAGTCAGTCTCTGCAGACAGCAAGAATACTGTTATTTTGCAGCTCTGTTTATTTATTTTATTTATAGCTCGATGGTGGATTATTGGGCTATGAGGAGACAAATGTAGAAATCTATATAATAAAAGTGTGTGAAATAATATCATTAAATAGTCATTTAGCTAAGTAGAATCCAGGTACAAAGAATCCAGGGCCAAATTTTAACCTTTACAGAGAGCACATTTGAGTTGAGTTGTTGCAATATCCTTAATCTTCCTTTGTGTCAGCTCTGCAGTCTTCAAAAAATCTGTTTCCTCTCTTTCTCCCAAGATGCAGAGGGCCTGGGTGGAGTAGATTGTACACTGGCAAGCTGTAGCCAGTGTAAAGATCCCTAATGTACTTTTATAGAAACTGGCATAATTCAAAGCATTTGTGTGATTGCTGGGAATTTCTGGGCAACTGTCCCTGGGGAAAGATGGAGAGGTGGGTGAAGGAAGGCCACCTTTCTACCTCTGTTATACAGAGTTCTGGTGTATTGAATTTAAATATTATCTGGCACATTGTCTTAGAAGCCGTGGTTCTATCCTTAGATTCTTTTTGTAAGATAATGTAATGTCAGAAATCTCATTTAAGCAGCTTCTGTATCAAAATGATTTTATGGATTTTTGGTCATAATCTTCAGTGACTTTATGTGGCTAATCAACGGTCTAGAGTCCATAGAAGAGAAAAACATTTTATTGTCATGCCATTGCTGAATGATAAGAGAAAAACCCCATGCTTTTAGAAAAATAAAAATTAAAAAAAAAGAAGAAAAGTTGAGGTACAGATAATGTTAGTTTTGGAGGTTTTTTTGCGAAAAGCTGTGTGTTTTTGTGCAATACCATAGTGATTAAGAAAATGATGTGCTTCACTCTTCATGTTTCTCATTTTTGGCTCCTGGCATAGTGAGATATCCTTTAGATAGTAGGAGTATCTTCCTGTAGAAGTAACTTCCTGTATGAGTTTTCCCAAGTCCAACTTTGTTGGCTTTCCCGTCAATATGAACAGTAAGGACTGTTTGTTCTTCCCACCTGCTTCAGAGGAAGTTGACCAATGGCAAGGTTAGAAGTGTGTGAGAGTGGGCAGCGCTAGCAGCAGAGTGGTGGTGTAGTTTTGAAGGAATCAGAAAGGAGTTTGGTTTGTTTGGACATTGGTGCTAATATTATCTAGTTCCAGAAGCCTAAATGGAAACGATTAAACAACAAAAGCATCTAGAAACTAACTTAACTATAGTGATGTAAATGATGATGCAGTAATCAAGGATTTTAAAGTTGGATTTTTTCACCTTTATTATGCATTTGCTGGTTGAAATTTTTTATAAGTAATAAATGCAATTGGTGCACCTACTTTGAACTTTTTAATAAATAATACAAGCAATTGGTGCAACTAGCAATATAAAGCTAGATGATATTTTGTAACTCTCTTTTAATTACATAAATATAAATTAGGATAAATCACAAAAAAGCTCTTTGTGGTAAAACCTTCCTAATTGCTTGAAAATGTCCTTATAAACTGATATTAATATCTAATGATAATGAATTTTTAATCCCTCTCATTTTACTTATTCTACATATGCTTGTATCTTGTTGTACTAATATTGAGATTCATACAGATTCACACGTAACATAGTGTAGACATAATTCAGCAGGCAAATTATTCAGTGCTAAGTGCATCTCAGAGGTTTTTGATTTCTAGCATGCTTTCAAAGTAATGTGGGAATTATGGGAACAAAAATATTTCCTTAACATTGCTAACAGAATAACCAATTTGTGTTTTTATTATTTCATCTCTAATTGTATTGGGTTACTGCTTATTTTTCCTTTTTACAACCCTTTGCGCCATTCTTGCCACTAATTTATAACCCCATTCTATGATAAAGAACTAGTACATAAAGGACTAGTGTTACAGAATTGGATAGGTTTTGCAGAGCTACACATCAAGATACATGCAGCTGCTATAAAAAGCCAAAGAAACTCAATTGCAATTTTATTGTCCAGTTTGATAGATTTCCTGCCACCTTTGTAGCAGAGAAGCTGTTTGTCACTGTAACCCTCTCCTCCAACAGCTGCACAGCGTTTTATAAGCAGCAATGACTTTTCTAGCATAATTGCACTACACTGGTTTCCTTGCACTCTGAATTTAGGTGTGTAACCTTTTTAAAGCCAAATTTCTTAGTATTACTCATGTATTTTGCTCATTTCCATATTATATTTTTCATGTGTTCTGAATATTAACACAGTGCAAACAAAGGTGTTTAATCTGTGGCTTCTAGATCAATAAAAATGTTAATGAAAAAATTAAATCACAACTCTGATTTGTTCTAAAGGCCAGTGCTGAATTTATGAAAGCATCTAAGAACTTGTGTTTTTTAAACATTGTAACCATGCCTAGCTAGGGCTTAGGTTTTGTCTGTCTAGCCGTGTTACTTTGTATAAAGGACCAATGATTTTGGGCTTAATAATAGGAAACAAGTAAAGAATGGTGGACAACTTGCCTTTTTGACCTTTCAGCTTCCCCAAGTTTTAAAAGAGTATAATGATTTACACAGTATAATGCACTCCTAAATTATCTGAATGTTTTGAACTGCTGAGAAGAACTAACATTTGCTTATTTCAGACCCTTAAATAAATTTGCTACTTAAAAGTTGCTTCATGTTACCATGTGATTTGGTAAAAGAGCAGAAATTTGGGTAAACTCTGATTGTTGGCTTTTGTTTTTGTTATTTTAGTAGCCCAAGAAATTTTCATTGAGTAAGGCTCAGAAATGTGAATATGTATTAATATGTAGCTACAGTTTCATTGCTATGTAAGTGGAAATTGCTGTATAAGTGGAAGAATTTTGTTCTCTGATCTGAATGGGAAGAAATATAATCTTAAAACTTTAGTATTGTGACTTTAACATACAACGTATCTATAAATAATTGTTAGTTTTCAGTCTAAGGAGGTGCAGTTGTAATAAACATTGGTGAGTGTTAAGTAAATTTGTATGTTCTTTGGTGCCCTGCTCATTTAATACAGGAGGAAAAAAAAAAGTGTTCACAGCGTTTACATGTATTACTTTTGCCTGATTTTCGTCATTACCAGGTGAGGTAAAAGCAGTGAAGATTAGGTGGTGGAGGAGCTAATATATGATGGCAATTTAAAAACTAATTTGCAGAGACGTGAATGTGGCTCAGTAGTTTTAGAAAGTAACAGGCCACCAGGATCTCTTGAGTCCAAATGCCATTGGCATTCATGAGTTATTGAGGACAGTTTTGTCTCCATTTTTTTCTCCCTATCTTGAAGAAGGTAGGGTCTCCCACAGTGGTATGTGCAGGCACTTTTAGCTGTAGGGCATTTTGAAGGCTTCAGATGTTCGTCAGTCTTCTGAAAAGTGTATCTGCATTGCCCTGAGGGGAAGCAGAGGTAGCTACCCAAGAGTACTGCTTGCAGGTTTTTTGTTTTCAACTGTGTGTTGTCCAGTATATCAATGAAGCAAAACAGATGCAAATTAAGTAGCACTTTTGAAATGCTTAATTATGGAGTTCATTCTTATGGTGTAAATAGTTATTTATAAAAAATTATTGTTTATTCTAGATCAGGGATGTCACCTGACTTAGGTAGAGCAGGAGGAACTTGGAGACTAGAATTTGCAACCTCCTTTAAAGCTTTGTACCCTCCAAGATGTGTGGTTATGATGCAGTCCTTCACCTTTTCTAGGTGTTTCCTCACTACAGCTTCTTTTGTAGTAGTTGTATGGAAAAGCTTTTTCCTAATCAGTGCCTCTGAGAAGAAGAAAATATTTTCATTATTCAGCAGGCATAATAATTGGGAGAAGGGATCCGTACCATTGTTGGGGTTTTACACATGTGGCCATGTATGGTTAATGGGGACTTCCTTCATCTTATTATTCACTCAGTTTAAGTAAGTGGGATGTCAAGAGTAAAGTTGTAGTATGCTAATACTTGACGAGAGAAAACTGTGAAGTAGGGGGTAGGAATAGAGTGAGCAAGGTAAACTGAGAGTTTATGAAGCAGGAAAGAACAGCATCAGCTGAGTAGAGGAAGCCACACAGAAGCCTTAAAAGAAGAGTAAAATAGAGATTTGCTGCTGGTTGAGTTGTGCCAGAGGCCTCAAAAAGAAGACATGGGGGAAACATTTGCAGCGG